CCCAAAGTTTAATGTGTTGGAGGCTTGGTTCCCACTGTGAGAGTTTAAAAGGGTGAGAAATCCTATTATGGCAATTGAAAGGTGAGACATTGAAGAGGTGATTAGATTGTAGGACCATAAAGTAGTGAATGGATTAATAATGGTGGTCAGCGGCATGGTTCTTAAGGCTCTAAAAGGAAAGTAGGTAAGAGTCTCTCTCTTTCTCTCTCTCTCTCTCTCTCTCTGCTCTGCCATTTTCTGCCATGTGAGACCCCTGCACTGCTGTAAAGCCACCCCCAAAGAAGACCCTCACCAGATGTGTTCCCTGGTCTTTGGACCTCCCAGCCTCTGAAACTGTAAGCAATAAATTTTGTTTTCTTATAAATTACCCAGTTCCAGGTATTTTGTTATAAGCAAAAGAAATGGATGAATACACCATCCTACTGCTTAGGAAACTAAGCCCAGAATCATGAAATACCTTACTCAAAATCACACAGCAAATAGGTAGCAAAGCCAGAGTCCAAATCCAAGTTTGTCAGACTTACAGATTCCATACTCGTAGCAGACGACTGACTGAGTACTGAGAAGGAGATGGCAGAAAGGAAAACAGTGGAGAGGATGGAAACCTGACCTAACCACCTTATTTAATATGACAGCCCATTCTCCCTTCCCCAGAGGGCACTACAAACCTCCCGTAGCCTGTTGCACATTTTCTTTTATCCACAGTACTTATTCTAACACACTGTATATAATGTACGTGCTCATTATGATAATCATCTATTGTCCACCTCCCCACACTGGAATAAAAACTCTACGGGGACACACATCTAAGCATGTATTTCCAGAGATTAGAACAGTGCCTGGCATAGAGTGGGCATTCAATAAATTTTGTCAAATGAGTGAATACATGTTTTTTTGTTTCAGGCCACAGCTGAGAGATAAGAGAAGGTTGATATGCTGGCTTTGGGATCCCCTGAGCATGTTGAATGAAAAAATGAGTATTCTTTGGTTTCAGGCTAAGGCTGATCTAACAAGCTGTAAGAAAAGAAGAAAGAGTTAAGATTTCCTACCTGTGGGGCTCGTTGGGCACTGAGAAATAAAAATATCCCTCAAACCCATTGAGAAAACTAAGATTAGCATTAACATCTCTAAAATAAAGCTGCCTCCATCCTTTAAGAAAGAGTACAGGTTCTTGGCCAGGCACAGAGCTGCCTTGCCTCCACATGCTTAGTGTCCATATGAACTTCTCAAAATAATGTGTATTCCTTCAGTCATTTAACAAACATGCATGGTGTCCCCCCTGCACACCAGAATTTATAATATCTGATTTCATTACTGTCGGAAACTCCAGCTCCAAGATGAGTCTGATATGACCCTCAAGAAGTAAGTCTGGTGGGAAAGACACTAATTTATTCCCTAGTCTGGGAAAACATTTTCAGTTAGGATGAAAGGCAGGAGATGATGGAATCATCCAGCTCCCAAGATGGTTAGAAGCTTCAAGGAGCCGATTATCATTTTTGAGGGAAAACAGAATTCAAAACATGAAGGCTCCTCTGAAGATGGCTCACGGCTTCCCTCTGGTGGACACCAGTAGCAAGTACATCACGTGTCTTTCCCGCACGTCCTTCAACACGGATAGCCTGGCCAAGGTGCTGGGAATAGCGGCGTGAAAAGCAACACCCAGAGCCTGCCCATAGGGAGGTCACAGTCGGATGAGAGAGCGAGACAAGGAAGCTGACAATCACTATAAGGTATGGCCTGTTGGTGACAGAAGCATCCATCCATCCACCCATCCACACATCCACCCATCCATCCATTCAACAAAGTACAGAAGCCTCGAGGCACATGCATGCCTGGTCTGTTGAGGGGAAATCAAGGAGGCCAGCATGACTGAAATAAAGTAAGCAAGAGCGAGGGTAGGGGAGTGGGGCTGGGGAGGTGGGGAGGGGCTCAGCAGTGTAGACCTCGAGGGCCACTGGGTGTGCAGTGTGTTCTGGTGACCAAAGGCAGTGGTTAGCTCAGTTTGCAGAGTCCAGGAAAGACCTCATAGAGGAGCAGACTTTGGGCTGAGCTTGAGGATACACAGGGATTCCTCAGAAGGACAAAAGGGGAAGGGAATTCTAGGCAGAGAGGTAAGTACCAAGATGTGAAATCCATGCCTTACCTAGGAAATTCTAAGTAATTAGTGGATTTATCAGATATTGAGGTCTTGAGGGGGAAATATGAATGGTGGGACTCCAAGTAGGAGCCAAATCCTGAAGGACATGAGAAAGGCGATATACTTAAGCCCTTGGTGAGTTTCATGGGCCAGGTGTATTTACTGAACCCCTACTATCTGCTAGATATTGACCTTCATGCTGGGAATAATAAAATAGTGAGCAGAAATAGGTACAATTCCTGCCTTCTTGCAGCTTCTAAAGTGAAGGAGAGAGGAACCCATTTAAAAATCGCTCCCCCAAAATGGTTAAAATAAGAATGTGATAAGTGGTACCATTAATTGCAGGAATGGCAGTGGTGAAGTGTGATATTAAGGACACTCAGGTCTGGGTGGACAGTCCTTTACCAAGAGGTCTGAGTTGAGCTGACCTCAGCCCTAAGTGCTGTAGGAATTGGGCAAAAGGAGACACTTGACCACCACTTCCTTACGGCTCTGGGGCTGGCATCTGGGGCAGGACGGAAGAGATTGAATTCTAGCTGCCTGGTAGGAGTTGCAAGCAGGCCTGGGAACAATTAAATCAGTGTATTTTCAAACCATGGGTCACAGTCCATACGTGAGGTGTGACATGAAAGTGATGGTCATTACCAGCATTTGGTAAATGATGGAGAATAAAACAGGAAAGAATTTAAAATATCTGCTTTCATCATGCATAATAAGGATGCTGAGTATCGTTCATGAAACCTGCTTCAGTTGTGTGTGTACGTATAGCTACATGTATGTTTGTGCAGGTGTATGTGTGATGGGGTTGCAATATAATCATATTTGTTACTGCATGTTTTGATCAAAAATGTGTGACAGACAGCAGGTAAGAGGACCTCTTGAGGTCTCATCTGGCCCAGGATGTCACAAAAGATGACTAGTCAGCCCCCAGAGGGCTCACAGAAACACCTGTCCCAGGCAGAGCTGGAGTTGAGCTCCACATTTAAGGACTTTGCCAAACTCAGTAGCATGACTCTGATGAGAATATATAAACTCTGAAAAGCAATTGAGAACCTAACCTCAGATGCTCATTGTCACGCATTGTGGGGACAGGGAGGAGAAGGTAGAGAGGCATTTATTGGTATGAACTTTCTGGAAAGCCATATGGCAAGGTTCACCAGAAGCCTTAAAATATATAATTTTTGCTGCAGGACCCCATTCCTATGAATTCACTCTAAAGGAATAGCCATGGATGTACCCAAAGATACTACTTAAGTGTATTCACCGCGGCACTGCTTATGACAGGACAAATATGGATACAACCTAAAGTTCCAATAGTAGATTGGCTGAATAAATGGTGTTAGTATGCAGGCTTTAAAAATGAGAAGAAAAGACATTTATGGACAAAGGAAGATGTTTATGACATACATTGTAACTTGGTGTAATTCGTTAAAGGAGAGAAAACTGCCAAAAGTGCTTCCCACTGTAGGTAGAGAGAAGTTGCCTTGGGGCAGATTTTCTATGTACTGAGTGATCAGGAGGCCCCTGTCAGCCATGCTAATGTTAGGTGAGTCAATAACATTGGACTAGAGATAAGGAATAGCATGACCCTCATAGTTAGTCAACCAAGGGTGATTTTGCCTCCTAGGGAACATTTGGAAATATCCAGAGACATTTCTGTTTGTCATGACTTGGAATGGGGGGATGTCACTGGTATCTCACAGGCAGAGGTCAGTGATGCTGCTAAACAAACATCCTTCAATGCACGACAGCCCCAACATGGTCCTTTTTGATAGTTACTGTCGCCTAGATCAGGATCTGCTAGCAAGAATGTAGACAAAGGGCATGCATGGGGACTGGGCCAGTGACCCTTTCCAAATATGTTCTGTTTTGTTCACTGCTGTATCCTCAGCCCTGCTGGCATGTAATAGCCACTCAGCAAATACTTGTTGAATGTTGCAGGTTGAATCAAGCCAAGGGCATCTATGAATAAGCATCCATCTGATTCTGCCAGACTGATGTTCAACAGTGACACCTCGTGGTGGGAACTGGGACAACTGTGCTAGTGGGCCAAGAACCCTTCTCTGGCTGGTGTTTGCAGAGCCCATCCCTTGGGACTGAAAGGCCCCAGAATTTGTGGCAAAATCACAAGGCTAGAGGGAAGCAGGAAGCCTCAAGAGGATGATATTTGATGTTCTGCTGATAAAGGCAAATGGGTGTTGCAGCAATGAATCAGAAAGATCCAGGAGAGATGATGACATATTTGGACACCAAACAGATAAAACAAGTCACAGAGGTTATTTTGTTAGGTGAAAAAAACAAGAACAACTTTCAATATGTATGGTTAATCCTAATTCTACTGTTTAAAAAAAGTATACACATACCCATTAGTCTGGAAGAATTATACTAAAATTTATACCAAAATGACAACAGCAGGTCCCTAGGAGATGGGGCTTGGGGTAGTTATTTTATTTACTTTAATCTATTTTCTAATTTATGCTAGAATGAACACATATTATTTATGTAAAACAAAATAAGGAATGAGACAGTGACGCAAAATACAAAGGCACTTCAGAACGTCTAAGGTAAAAAGACCCCAGTGTCCTACACACATTCAATATTTCCATATCTGGATCCTAATTATCCAGAGCCAAATGCCCTACAACCTCAGTAGGTCTTCCTTGGGCAGGAGTTCAAACCCAAGAGCTGTCCTGCCCACCTCTTCCAGCCTCCAAATCCCAGGCCATCTTTCCTCTGCTTGTGAGCTGGATTTATCATCCAGGGTTGACTCTCTTGTCCCGGCCTTTAGTGGTGGGCACAGGAATCCTGAGGGACAGTGGCAGATGTGTTGTGGACAGGTATCCATACCCCTGGGCCTGCTCACCTGACATGTGGACGTTTCTGAGGCAGGAGAGGGAGGCATTGAGACGGGCACACTCCTCCCGGTTGGCGCCATATTTCTCCACGGTCTCACACACCTGTTCATCTGTCATCTCCAAGAGGTCCTCCAGGCTCAGCTGGCCAGGAGAAATTTCCTAGGGGAGAGAAGTGACAAGGACATCAACTAAACTGTAAGCTCCCTGAGGGCAGGAACAACGTCTGTGCCTCCACGCTGCCCTCTAGTGGTGCCTAGTGGAGTACACACCACTGTGTAAATGCTTCGCACAATGGTTGGGTCTCAGGATCTGGGGTCAGACAGGGCTGGGATCAAACCTCAGGTTTGCCACTCATTCACTAGACAACCTCAGACAAGTCACTTAACCTCGCTGAGCCTCACTTTACTTGCCTATAAAATGGGGATCTCAAGTGTACATACTTGGTGAGGTAGCACATATGTTAGTGCACAGCAGCACTCCATAAATGGAAGCAGTTAATTACGTCTGTCTCCCCACCTGGCTTCTGAGCTCCTCGTGAGGCAGGGCCTCATTTACTTGTCTCTGAATGGCCCTCAGTGCTTCCTGCTCAGCTTGGACTGCAGTGACTCGTCCAAATCCCAGCTTGGAGCTTGGAGCAAGCAGACTAGGGAACTCAAGTCCTCTGATGGCTGTTCTCATGCTCTGCTTCCTCTCTTCTAGGGCCACAGGGTCTAGGGTTCACAGGGTCTTCAGGAACCTTAAGGGGAAAGGGCTGAAATGGGTGGAAATGAAACTGGAATTGTGTTTGAGCCCATGGGTCACGGCTTTGCATCTTAAAACAAAGTGGTAAGGCTGGGGTACAGCATGCAGAAGGAAAAGGGACACCTCTGAAGAGATGGACTGGGAACAGAATTCCCAACTGTAACTGTCCCTTCACCGCCACCAGCAATCACACCCTTTCCCCAGAACAGTGTCCCCCTAGACACCGTATATGAATACACCTCGAAATTTGTCAAACTTCCATATTTATATATCTATATATGTATATAAGAGCCTTCTTTCATAGCACTTGATGATAAACAAAGTGGTAAGGCTGGGGTACAGCATGCAGAAGGAAAAGGGACACCTCTGAAGAGATGGACTGGGAACAGAAATCCCAACTGTAACTGTCCCTTCACCGCCACCAGCAATCACACCCTTTCCCCAGAACAGTGTCCCCCTAGACACCGTATAAGAATACACCTCGAAATTTGTCAAACTTCCATATTTATATATCTATATATGTATATAAGAGCCTTCCCAACTGTAACTGTCCCTTCACCGCCACCAGCAATCACACCCTTTCCCCAGAACAGTGTCCCCCTAGACACCGTATATGAATACACCTCGAAATTTGTCAAACTTCCATATTTATATATCTATATATGTATATAAGAGCCTTCTTTCATAGCACTTGATGATATCCAACGTTTTTACATATATTATTATTTAAATACGGGTTTTAAATATATATGAATGGCAATTCCAGGGCAATATTGTGGGATAATTCTGCCCTCTTGTGGCCATATCTGTGTATTACAACGACACACAGCTACACCAAACCAACCGCCAGAAAGGGGAAAACAGTAGCAGCACAAAAATCTATCCAAAAAAGTGAGCTGCAGGGCAAAAGCCAAAGCCCAATCAGTGCCTTGCCAATAAGTGCCTTTCAACTCACTGGGGCAGGGGACAGAGAGGGAACAATAATTGAGTCACTTAGAGGCTTTCTCAAATAGGGACACTGCAGGTCAGCCCCACTTTAAGAAAGGTGATGAACTGAGATCTGAATGTACAGAATGAATCGTGTTTTGAGGGGACGATTCACAGCATGAAAGGATTCTCCTGTTTGCCGCAGGATTCACTTGTGCATTTTAATCTGATTTATAAATATATATGTATGGTAACTATATATTCAACATATATATACCCATAAGTTCACATACCCATAAGAAAAACAGAATTAAAAGATAATACAAATCTTTCTATGAACTTTTTGAAGGCCCCTCGCATATATTGAATATATATAGAGAATTTATGCCGAAATTTAGGATCATAACACAACCATAAGAGTAACATTTTTATGACATCAAAAACGGAGAAAGTCTATGAACTTTTTGAAGGCCCCTCGCATATATTGAATATATATATAGAATTTATGCCAAAATTTAGGATCATAACACAACCATAAGAGTAACATTTTTATGACATCAAAAACGGAGAAAGACTTAATAATCCTGGGCCAAAAGAGCACATGCACTTCTGTTTGGTAATAAGTGCAGTAATAATAACAGCTGGAATGGATGGAGTATTGTTTTAAGTGCTTTTCATGGATTTCCTTTTAATGTCACAAAGACCACCTAAAGTGGGTACTTTTATCGTCACCATTTACAGACTAGGACAATAAAACTCAGAGACATTAGACCACTTGCCTAAAGTCACACAGCAAGTAAGCAGTGGAGCCAGGGTTTGAACCCAGGTAGTCTCACTTGGGTGCTTTTTCCATACTGCCATTTCCATAACAGAAAGGGGACCTCTGGTGGACACAAACACAAACTGCAGACAGAGAACTGGAACCCCAGCTCCACCCCCACTCCCTGGCTGGTGACCTTGAACTCAAGATTCTCATAGGTCAAGGTAAGAGCCAAAACTCAGGTTCCTGCAGGCCAAGTAAATATAAATGAGCAAAGTGGTGAACCAAAGGGCACGGGCACATGAGGAACCCAAAGAGACAGCAGATCCATTTCATTGCTGCCAGACAGGAATTCAGTACAGTGTGGTCAGCAATTCTAATTTTTCAAGTGAAAAACGAAAAGCCAGAGATCTGAGATTTTTAGGCAAACTCTTTCAGTTTTTTAAATATTGGCTCAAAATACATTTTTGAGTATTGTATCAGCCAAAGAAAAAATGTCTGCTTATCAGATACACCTTGAGGGCCACCAGTTTTCAACCCCTGGTCTAGAAGACTTGTTTCTGCCTCACCTGCTCCATAGGTGGTGCTTAATAAATAAATGATCCCAAAAGCCTCTGAAAAGTGTGCCAGGCCATGCAAATATACTGTCTGTATGTATACAGGACCTTTCATCCTAAAGGTATACACAAGAAACCCTGTCTTGGCCCCCTGGCCATGCTGGGAATGAAATAAGGGCATACAGAATAGTGCGCCATCTTGTGTGCATATGTGAGATGGGGTGGGGATGGGGGGATGGAGGAATGTGGGGGTGCTGCATTAGCTCAGGATTGTTAGATCCGGTGGGATCAGGTGAGATTCTTGTCCTTGGGGACAAGATCTAAAAAAGAGAGAGGCTCTTCAAGCAGGAAGCGAGAGTACCTAGAGAAAGGGCTCTTGGACCCAAGGCATTGGGGTGGGGGCACACCCTCTTCTGCCCAGCTCGGGGAGGCCCCAGCAACAAGAAAGTGAGGAGAAAGCAGAGTGCCTCCCACCTGACGCTCCAGAGTCCATCTAACCTGGCTTCTCCTGCTAGCCCCACCCACCACTAGCTGGACCAGACACTTCATCCCTGAGCCTCGATTTCTCACTCTGTATAATGGGGGTAACAGGCATACCTACCCAAAATGGTGTTGTGAGAAGTCTGAACAGTCTCAACAGTTGAGGTCCTTCCTGCAAAGCCCTTAGTACAATGCCTGGCATCAAAGATTCAGTCATATGAGCTGGTTTTATTAGGAATAGCTCAGCCCCATCACAGGAAACAGTGGGTTCCTGGGATCTCAGAGGGTAGGGAAATCTCACTATCCATGTGACCTTAAGGATGTGGACACAAGACATCAGGGCTCCAGCTTAGTTTTGCTATTGGAAAACCTGTAACTTTCAAAATTTTCAACAGCAGCAGCAATAACAACAACTATATGCTAACATTTACTGAGTGCTATTTGGTGCCAGACTATAAGAATCACCTGAACATTTTATAAGAATCACCTCATCTTATGCCAGCTACTCAAGAAGAGGGGGCAATCATTATCCCCATTTAACAGATGAGAAGACTAAGGCTCTAAGGCTATGCTCTACAATACGGCAGCCACCAGCCACATTAATTAACATGAAATACAAATAACAATTCAGTTCCTCAGTTACACACACTAACAACAATTCAGGTGCCCAGTAGCCACAAGTGGCTGGTGGCTATCACATCAGAAAGCACAGATATAAAATACTTCCATCATAGCAGAAATTTCCATTGGACAGTGCTGTTCTAACAGGTAAAGTGATTTGATCAAAGTGACTCCATTTATAAGTGGCAGAGCTGAAAGAGGTCTAACTGACTCCAGAACCACACTCTAATGATGTCATTTGGACAGCATCAGAGATCCTGCATGCCTTCATCCAATACAGATTTATGGAGGGCCTACTATGTGCCAGGGACTCTGCTGGGCACAGCCAAAAACCTGCTGCCCAAGGAGCAGCAGAGGGGGTGACCACTGGCAGGTAAGGGGCAGGGGTAACAAGGTGCCTCAGGTCACCTCCAGGACTTCCTTGCGCACGTCGACAATCCGGAACCAGTGCCGGACCTGGGGGAAGCCATCCAGCTCTGCGTTGCGTTCCTGCAGGGCCACCTTCTTTTTGCAGGACAGCTGCCGGCTGAAGTATTTCACCAGCTTGCTCTGAGGAGACACAGACAAGGACATGGGACACATCTCAGAGACACTGTCAAAAGGTGAGAGCAAGAATCCCTACGACCTACCCTCCCACCCAAACCCCATCCAACTTTGTATTTCAAAGACTGGTTCGACTACATTGAGATTCAGTTTTCCACCCATCTCCACACTAAAAGAGAGGTGCACCATCCTGGTGAAGATCGGCAATCAGGCGGGCCCCAACATTTTTTGGGGGGGACATGCATTGGGACCACTTTAGTGGAGGGCTTTTTGGCTGTATCCATGTACATTTCAATTACACGTAGTCTTTGACCCAACGATTCACTTCTAGGAACTCATCCTGCAGACACCCATCCTATGCAAAATGACTGTGTACAAGGTTATTTTGTTACAGTTCTGTTTGCAGTGGCAAAAGATTGCAAACACCCCGACGCTCCATCAGTAGAAAACTCATTACATAAATGGCGCAACAGCCACACAAAGGAACCCTATGCAGCTATAAATAAAATGATGAAGTACGCTGTGTGCTGATACAGAACAGTCTCCACGATACATGCTGATAAATAAAAATAAATGCTCTCCCATTCACGGGGGAAATGTTTCCATGTGTATACCTTTGCAAATGCAAAGACTCTTTCTGAAAGAATTCCCAGTCCTCTAGGGAAGGCAAGTGGGTGGGTGGGGAATGGAGGGGGGAGAAATATTTTTAAACCTTTTTCTACTGTTTGTCCTATTGCAAGTACTCACATATTAACAAATACTTTTAGAATAAGGTGGACCTAAATCGGTGCTTCTGGGGGAAGAACCATGACATGAAACAGGATGGTTTTTTATTGATAGTTTTATAAACACTAACAACATTCACAAAAGAAAGGCAATACATGTGTCCCCAAGCAGAGAGAAAAATAGGGACAAATAAACCCCAGACTTCTAACTTGGGACAGGGAGACTCTATAGAGGAGGGGAGAAAAAAAATGTTTTGCATTGTTTCAATAGTTACCCAGAGTATATTATCATCTTTGTAATTTAAAATACACTTAATGAAGATAATTAAATGAAACAAAATTTAAATCCTTAGGTATGTAGATGCCTGTAGCATTTCCAAGTACAGTCAACCATCATTCATCAAGAACACCGTCTTGGGATTCTAGCATCACAAAATTCAGAGCCAGAGAGGACTATAGTGGGCTTATGTTGCTTCTGCCTACCTGGTCTCCATTCCCTCTTTTCCTGAAAAGAACATTTTAACTTTCTTTTGGGGAAAAGAAAGTTCTTTGGCTTTCAGTCCATATGGCTCACATGAGGCTGGTCACTCCCTGGCTGCAGGACGGACACATGACCCAGGCATGACCACACCTGCCATCTGAGCCCCTGAATTGAGCACGGAGACCAGATACCCCTGGACTCTGCAGTGATATCATCAGCCAATAAGTTCCTCTTCAGTAGTATTGGGGTTTTGTTTGTTTGTTTGTTTTTTGCTTAAGCTGGAGCGAGTTGGGTTTCTGTAGCTAAAGCATCCTGACTCACAGCGAAATTAAAGGACATCTAGTCCACTGTCCTTGAGGGAGTCTTCACATCCCTGGTGTGTTGGTCTCCTATGGCTGCTGGAACAAATGATCACAAACTTGGTGGCTTAAAACTCAAATTTTTTATCTGGCAGTTCTGGAGATCAAAAGTCCAAAGTCAGTCTCCCTGAGCTAAAATCGCGATGTCAGCAGGGCTGGTTTGTTCTGGAGGCTCTAGGGGAGAATGTTTTCTTGCTTTTTTAGCTTTTAGAAGCTGCATGCATTCCTTGGCTCCTGGCACCTCCCCATATAACTAACTTCTTGCTTCCACTGTCCCATCTCCTACTGACTCTGATCTACTGCCTCCCAGATAAACTGCTCCTAAAATTTTAACCCACCTAAACTGTCAGATAAGAAATATTTGTTGTTTTAGGATGCTGAGTTTCAGGGCGATTTGTTAAAACAGCAATAAATAACTAATACAAAGGATCAAATCCCATTCAAACTTATAATGAGAAAAAAGAGCAGAATAATATTCCTACAGACAATGAAAGCACACTAGAAAAGTACATTTGCAAAGCAGAACAAAACCGTAAACTACTATTGCAAAACTCTGCAAAAGACATTAAGAAGATGATACGAGATCTGAAAAAACAAATCAGAATCAGAAAATCACAAAAATGAAGTATCAGAACTCAGGAAAGGATTACAAATAAAAGGAAAAGTGTATTCATTAAGATACCCAGATGATGAGTAAGAAAACTTGTTACAAAAAAGAAATAAATGAGATCTTTGCAAGGCAGGCAGCAGAGCTAGGGTGAAAAGGCAGCCCAGCAGGGGTCAGGACCCATGAGCAGAGCATCCAAGCAAGGCAGTGGCCCTGTGCAGTTAGGAGATCAGCTAAATGCAGAAGATGGAGCAAGTAAAGAAATATACTGAGATTATTTTTATCACCAAGAAGAGCCATATAAATGGAAAAAGAGAAAAAACTAGAATAAATCCTCTGGTGTTGGATTAGGATTAGGGGTATTCATTACCAATACACAGAGATATAAAAACAAATGTCACTGTAAATGTGCATATGAATGTATACATATGTGCATTGCACATACATAAATATATTACCTAGGCATCCCACTCAGGGGGCTGGAAATGATAACACCCCAATATCAATAAGCACACTGGGGACCCAGATGTTGGCTCCTAAATACCATTTTCCACTCAGAGGAACTAGCTCTCCCTAGAAAAATGGCTAATTCCAGGGTTGGAGCAGGAAAGCAAGAGTGTGGAAAATTATGTTGTGCCAGAAAGTGAGGAAGTGCTCAATGATGGGGACCTGTCAAAGTATATTTCTTTTGTGTGGTTTTCTGCACCTATGTAAAGAAAACAGTTAAAAACAAGTAGGAAAATAAAGACAGACATGAGAGTTCTACAGATATCTCAGCTGAGAGTTCTGTGCTGAAGAACCAATAGGTCAGACCCTACTCATTCAGAAACAAATTAGAGGGGAAAAAATATTCTTTTTGATATTTTCTATTCTAAAACTCTAAATTGGGATTCCAAATGAAAAATGTTCAAGTACATTAGCTGAACACGTGAATACTGTTCTGCCATAGCAATGGGACACAGGCTTATCAAGAATGGCAACTTCCAATTGATTAGTAAGATGAGTAAAATTAATTTTAACTTAAAAACCATTTAAAATTTTTGATTATGTTGCTAAATGTCCTCAAAAGTCTTGCTAAAAAATTTTTTTAAAGGTTCATTGAGTTATATAGGTTAATGCTCAAAGATCTCACTATGGTAAAAAGATGACCAATTCCATCTATGTATTTTAAAGAAAATTCATTTATGTAGCTTCCTTGAAAGTTTTATAAATAAAGCACAATGAATTTTACATTATTTATCAGATGCAGAACTCAGAAACTTGTACCTTTATGGGGGATGGAGGTCTACCCAAAAGGATGAGTTCTGGGCTATATCAGTTTGCAAGGGCTGCTGTAACAAAACACCACAAATTGGGTGGTTGGAACAGCAAAAATTTATTGTCTCACAGTTCTGGAAGCTAGAAGTCTGAGACTAAGGTGTCAGCAGGGACATGCTCTCTCTGTAGACCCTAGAGAAGGATCTGCTCCAGATCTCTCTCCAAGCTTCTGGTAGTTCCTTGGCTTGTGGCACCAGAACTCGACTCTTCACATAGCATTCTCCCTGAGTGCATGTGTGTTCAAATTTCCCCCTTTATATATATGACACCAGTTATATTAGATTAAGAGGCCACCTTACTCCCATATGACCTCATATTAGCTAATTATATCTGTAGTGACCCTATTTCCAAATAAGGTCACATTTGGAATGGGGTTAGGACTTTAACATATGAATTTTGGAGGAACATAATTCAAACAATAACATGGACCTTTAAAAGACACCAAGCAAGAATGAATCAGAAACCACTGCAATGTGACTCTCTTTCTGGAAGGATGCTGCACTCATGCTAGCTCCAGATGCATGACTAGATTTCCCCATTATGGGAAGCAAGTCAAGGGACAGGGCAGGGCCAGGGCCATGGCTGGTAGGAAATTAAGCACTTTAAAAAGAAGCCAGCCCCTAGGCAAAATTCTTTATATGCTAAATCATCTAACTGCTACTATTTGAAACAAGTACGGCCCACTTCTTCCTCTTATGTCTGTTCATCAGAGTCTTAATCTTGCTGCACTTCCCAAGCGGCGCACTATCCAGTGCGCCACCGGGCTGGCCCCAGTTTGTGATTTTAAAAACTTAAAAACAATTTTTAAAAAGGTACATGAACAGAAATGCTACATATTAATAAGTTACAGCACATCTACAAAATGAATACTATATAAACTTTTTTTAAATGAGATAGATGAATACACATTTATTTGGGAAAATCTCCAAGCTTTTCATCTCCAGGGGAAAAGCAAATTACAAAAGACACTGTACAATATGATTGCATTTATATTTTTAAAAACTATATGTGTGTTAATAATATGTTTAGGGCCGACCCCGTGGCGCACTCGGGAGAGTCCGGCGCTGGGAGCGCAGTAGCGCTCCTGCCGCGGGTTCGGATCCTATATAGGGATGGCCCTGGTGCGCTCACTGGCTGAGCACGGTCCAGCCGTTCACAAAAAAGACAAAATAATAATAATAATAATAATATATGTTTAGAAACCCATATGGCAAAATACAGCAAACTGTTACAGTAAACATGGGCATGGGGTGAAGAGGGGTGTTTACTTTTTACTATACACATATATTGTCTTAATTTTTATAATAAGCACATATTGCTTTGCTTTTGCAGGATTTAGGGGAAAAAATTTAATTTAAGACTTAGTTTACATACCCTGCCCACACTTTGCACATACCTAAACTTTGGTTCACTCATTCACTCAACAAATAATTACTAAGTGCCCACGGTATGCCAGACACTGTGCTAGGCTCTGGGGATTCAATAAAGAATATGACGAACCAAGAGTT